TCCGTATTTTGGGTATTTTTCTTTACTGAAACCCCGCAGTAGCACAGCGGTATGTCTGCGGACTTACAACGCTAATATCCGGTTTCGATACCCGAGGTGGGCAGAGCACAGGTAGTCCATTGTGTAGCTTTATGCTTAATTACAAACAAACAAACTTTTACTGAAAAAAAAAAAAGGAACTCTGATTTTTTAACAATTTTGATAGGGAAGCCCCATGGTAGTACAGTAAAATATAATACTTGAAATATATTTATGTGCAATATAAAACAGATATATAATAAATAAGTATACAATATAATTGTGGCACGCTTTTGAAAAAATAAATTGTCTTTGCTATTTGTCTCTTCCCAGTTTTTTTTTGTTGTTGTTTGTTTGTTTGTAATTAAGCATAAAGCTACACAATGGGCTACCTGTGCTCTGCCCACCTCGGGTATCGAAACCGGATATTAGCGTTGTAAGTCCGCAGACATACCGCTGTGCTACTGCGGGGTTTCAGTAAAGAAAAATACCCAAAATACGGAATGCTGGGAGTGGCACTTTTATCTTTTTTTTAAGTGTGTTTATGGGGGGGGGGGGTATATTTTCTAAACATTCCGCCTAACCGAAATCCTGGCTATGGCCCTGGATTATCGTTTAAGTTTATAAAGAAAATTATTGACTCTCGAATTTTCAGCGGTGGTTTACTAAAACATCACATCTATCCAAAGATGATCCAAAGGATATAAAAAGTAAAGCAATGATCGAGTTTAAAATTTTGTATCTTTATTAAAGTAATAATAAAATATTTATTAAAATTAAATTACCTTAACTGCGAGTAAAAGGTCGGTTTAATTTGTTTAATTTCGGCCCTCTTTTAAAGAATTAGCAGAGTCTCGTTTTCAGCTTTACCGATTACTTTGAACATATTGGGAGGTGTGGCCACATTACATTCATTTAGTGCTCGCCAAACAATACTTGAAAAGTCCTTGAACCTAGGACTAAAATGTTCTTTTGAACGATCTTCCAGTCTTCTGACAGTCGGTATGACGTAAGCGCCGTCATACGTTGGGCAACAAAATTCATATATGACTCTCGAAAAAAGCTGTATAGGTGCGTCAGGCAACAGGAAGCAACGTAATCGAGAAGGATCTCTGTCACAAGTCAAGCGTACACAAAGCTACTTCTACTACATATTCGCTCAGTTGTTGCATACCTCAAGCAGCTGGAGAATGAAACGAGTATTTAAGATTTTCCATACGACGATATATTGATCAATTCGGCAAACGCAAAATCTTTGAATTTCTGTGCAATCAGACTGTTGAAACAGGCAATAAATGACGACACATGGAAAGCACACAAAGAGGAGAAGTATGCTTTAGACGTGACAGTCTTACGAAACAGCCTTTTACAATGAAAACTGCGTTGCAGGGCTATTGGTCAAGATGCACGGTCATCAGACAGAGCGTGACCAGACGTGGACTGTAACTACGTGATGTGTTCAGTACTGTGTGGTCCGGCATGGCCAGGTGGTTAGGGCGCTTGACTCGCAATCTGAGGGTTGCGGGTTCGAATCCCCGTCCTACCAAACATGCTCGCCCTTTCAGCCGTGGGGGCGTTATAATGTGACGGTCAATCCCACTATTCGTTGGTAAAAGAGTAGCCCAAGAGTTGGCGATGGGTGGTGATGATAGCTGCCTTCCCTCTAGTCTTACACTGCTAAATTAGGGACGGCTAGCGCAGATAGCCCTCGTGTAGCTTTGCGCGAAATTACAAAACAAACAAACAAACAGATCCGCCATA